AAAACTGACCACAGCACAAGACAGATTTACAAGAACAAGTTACATGATTGTGCATAAAATTGCCCAAAATAGCAAATCATTCTTTGAGGGAGAATTTATCAAGGAATGTTTAGTTGACACTGCTGCAATATTATGCCCAGACAAGAAAAAGCAGTTTGAAAACGTTTCATTGTCAAGGTGAATTATGGTGAGACAAACAATAGAAGAAATCTCAGAGAACCTGGACCAACAGTTGAAAAGCAGGGTCAACAGTTTTTCATACTTTGTTCTGGCACTCGATGAAAGTTGTGATGTCAAAGATACAGCTTAGTTGTTGATTTTAATCGAGGCATCAGTACAAATGTTGAGCTTCCAGAAGAACTGCATCAATACAGTCAATGAAAACTATGACCACTGAAAAAGATCTACTGGAAGCAGCATATAACAGCATCTCAAAATTGGAACTGGACTGGAAGAAATTGGTGAGTGTGATCACTGACGGAAGTCCTAATCTGACAAGCAAAAATGTTGGATTGTTGAAAAGAATACAAGACCAAGTGACAGAAATAAACCCAGAACAGAACATAATTTTTCTACGTTGCATTATTCACCAACAGGCCCCTCTGCAAAAGCGTTCTGCAATTAAACAATGTTGTTGATACAGTTACAAAACTGGTCAACTTTATTAGAGCCTGTGACGTAATGGGGGGTAACCTGCTAACTCTCTGGCTGCTGTCTGTAGCACCACCGAGCAGACAAGTGATGAGTCACTATGCAAAGAGGGTATCTCAACTGGTTTGGCCAGCTGACCCCCATGGAGAGGAACAAAGGAAGGTGGAATGCTGCCCTGGCTGGGGGGCAGGGCTGGAGGACAGTGGGTTAGTTCCTGGCTGGAAAGCAGGGGAGAAGGAACTGGGGAGGGGGCTGGGATTCCCCTATCTCAAGGCGGGCACTGAGGCCTCTTAGCCCCCAGTTCCTGTAACCAGATTACATCTGTGCTATGCTGTATCCTGGAGGAGCAATAAACTACCCTCAATTCCACTGGCTGGTGGAGTCTGTTTGTGCCATCTCGGGGTGCAGGAGACGGGGGACCCCCAATGCGCCGTCACAGAGCCAAAGCATTAAATCAAAGGCAATTAATCTCTCTGTTGGAGGACTCTGAGTCAGAGCACAGGGATGTTCAGTATCATACAAATGGTAAACGGCTTAGTTTGGGGAACATTCTGAAAAGAGTGTGGGATCTGAGAGTAGCGATTGATGTGTTTTTGAAAATGAAAGGAACAGATGCAGACTTCCCTCAACTGAATGTGACTTGACTCTCTGATTTTGCATTTGCCATTGACATTATGGGTCACATGAACAAACTGAATTCAAAATTGCAAGGCAAGGGATTTTTTGCCCGTGACATGTATTCCCTTGTCAAATCTTTCATGGCAAAGTTGCTCCTTTTCTCCTGCCAGACTGGAAAGAAGTTCCCACACTTCCCCACTTTGCAACAGATTACAATATCTGACGAGAACCTGGAAAGATACAATTCGTTACTGCTCATTTTGCATGGTGAATTTTTTCGACGCTTCATGGATTTTAAAATGATAGAAAATGACATGGCTTTGTTCTCCTCCCCTTTCACATATGTGGTGGAAAATGCTCCGAGGGACTTCCAAATTGAGCTTATTGACTTGCAGAGTGATGCCTTGCTTGCAGAGTATTCAAATCAACACCACTTCTGGGATTTTATGCATCTCTCAATGAACAAAAATTTCTGAATATCAAGGCTCATGCCCAAAAGATGCTTGTACTGTTTGGATCAACTTACATCTGCAAGCAGATGTTTTCTGTGATGAAATTCAATAAATCAAACAGATCTTCTATCACTGATGAACACCTTACAGTAGTGCTTTGCACTGCAACATCAAAAATAACACCTGACTTCATGTCCCTTGTTAATGTCCATCAGAGACTTTCTTCTTTACACTAAGTTGCCTTTTTCTTTTACACATAAGGTGCATGTAACTCAGATGGGCAATAAGCCAGATGCAGCTTCTGCTAGTGCTGTGCCTCTGCAGATAGGGCCATTTAAAGCTCCTGTTGGCTGTGGATCACCATTCCCAGCCCACGTGAACTGCAGGAGGTGGTATCCCAATCCACGCTATGCCCACTGGCGAGGGATAGTGTTCCACGGTGAATGGGAGGTTCAAGCAGCTGTACCAGCAGAGAAGCAGGTAAATAAAGCACTGGTGGCTACTGGGGTTAACCCTGGTGAAACATGTCTGATTCCTGGGTCAGATAGTGCCCACCACTGATGTATAGGATTGCTAGATGGTTGAAACCCCCCCCCCCCCACCAAAAAAAAAACCACCGGGAAAAAATTCTGTTGAAGGGGGAAAAAAAGGGGGAGGAGGAGACCAAAGTTGTTGAGCAAAAACAGCATGTCCCCTTTAAGAGTGAGTGCAGGGATAGGAACCAGGGAGCAGTTGAGCACTAAGACCCAGGTTGGCAGCCATTTTGTGCTGGCAGCCTTGCAGAACCAGGTAAGCATGGGGTCTGGGGTGCCAGAGTGGGGACCAGGGTGGGGGAGGGAAGGGGGACAAGGCTAGGTGCTGAGTGTCTGTAGGGTTGCCAGGTGCCTGGCATTTTCGCCTCCTGGCTGGGGAAAAAATCAGAAAATATCGGACATTTTAGGTGTCCAGTATTCTCTGAATTTTTTTTTACCAGACAGGACGCGAAAATATCGGACTGTCCAGGTGAATACCGGACACCTGGCAACCCTACTGATGTAACTAAAAGTTTAGTGTTAGTGTTGTTATTACAAATTTTACAAGTGTTGCCTTCTATGATATTACTTGGATAATGTTGTATTCAGTTAATTATTTCTAAAAATTAATTACTTTTGTGGCAGGGCATAGCCCTGTACTGGCCCTTTAAGGGGTTGAGACTTGGAGTCAGGAGGAAGCCCAGCTGAGGCCGCTAACAAGGGCCCAGCTGGAGGCCATATAGAGCAGCTCCTGGGAGGGGGAGGAGGAGGAGGAGGAGACGGACCTGCATGCCTGCAACGAGAGAGGCTTCAGCCTAGCAAACCCAGGCTACCCGGCCTGAGGCCCTAGGGGCAGCAAGGAGACAGTCATGGAGGGCAGGGCTCACATGGAGGCTGCCCTAAAAGGCCAGGCTGCAAGGAGGCAGCCGCGGTAGGCTGGCGGAGTTGGGGTGGGGGGGGGGAGTTGGAGCCAGGGAAGCCCCAGGCCATAAGTCCACAAGGTAGGGTTGCAGGAGGCAACCGGGCAGGCAGAGTAGGAGAAGAACTGGGGGCCCTAGGGAGTAGGAAGGACCCTGGAGGAGGAGCAGAGGAAGAACAATGACTCCCCCCCGGAAGGGAGCACAGACCAAGACTGGAGTGGTCACTGCCGGAGGGCAGTGGCCTGAAGAGAACACCTCACCCAAAGGGGGCATGTCAGTGTCAGAGCAGACAGTTACCTCCCCAAAGGCCACCCTGAGGGAAAAAGCCGTGAAAGTGAGTCAAACCCGCTACACTACGTTGTGTAAAAAACAAAGCAGCATCTTTTTTACAGCACTTGCCCCTGCCTCTTCCACCCGAGGCCCTGCCCCTTCCGGGTCAACCTGCGACCACTTCAGAAATTTGTGAAGTGGCCCCCCTTCAAAATGCCACCTCTGGTCTAGATCATCCATCCCTGGCAGGTGTCTGTCTAACCTACTCTTAAATATCTCCAGAGAATGAAGATTCCACAACCTCCCTAGGCAACTTATTCCAGTGTTTAACCACTGAAGTTTTTCCCAGTGTCCAACCTAAACCTCCCTTGCTGCAGTTTAACCCCATTACTTCTTGTCCTATGCTCAGAGACCAAGGACAACAATTTTTCTCCCTCCTCCTTGTGACACCCTTTTAGATACCTGAAAACCACTATCATATTCCCTCTCAGTCTTCTCCTTTCTAAACTAAATAAGCTCAATTCTTTCAGTCTTCCTTCATAGGTCATGTGTTCTAGACCTTTAATCATTCTTGTTACTCTTCTCTGGATCTTCTCCAATTTCTCCATCTTTCTTGAAATGTGGTGCCCAGAACTGGACATAATCCTCCAACTGAGACCTAATCAACATAGTGTAGAGTGAAAGAATGACTTCTTGTGTCTCGCTCATAACACTCTTGTCAATGCATCCCAGAATCATGGTTGCTTTTTTTGCAACAGTGTCACGCCGTTGACTCATATTTAGCTTATGCTCCACTATGACCTCTAGTTCCCTTTCTGCAGTACTCCTTCCTAGACAGTCACTTCCCATTCTTTATGCGTGTAATTGATTGTTCCTTCCTATGTGGAGTAGTTTGCATTTGTCTTTATTAAACTTCATCCTATTTACCTCAGACCATTTATGCAGTTTGTCCAGATCATTTTCAATTATGATCCTATCCTCCAAAACAGTTGCAACCCCTCCCAGCTTGATGGTATCTGCAAACTGAATAAGCATACTCTCTATGCCATCATCTATATCATTGATGATGATATTGAATAGAACCGGTCCCAAAACAGACCACTGTGGAACCCTACTTGTGTTATGTCCTTTCAGCATGACTGTGAACTGTTAATAACTACTCTCTGAGAATGGTTATCCAGCCAGTTATGCACCTACCTTATAGTAGTACATGTATATATGGCCCCCACCCCACACTCTCACCCTCTTTGAACTAGGAAAAAAAGCTTTACTGCTGTTAAAGGTGATATTCCAGACTTTGAGATGCAAGGCTTTTGCCCACCCAGTGTTGTATCTGGGAGTACCAGTCTATATGTCTTAATTTATGATTGCCTTGCACAGGGACAATCACCACTAGGTACCCCAGAAAGAACTCAGGTCTCAGGCAGACTGGGAGCAACGAAAAGCCATGAACCTCCCAAACTGGTGCTCAAAGGAAGCTGGTGTAAGTCAAAGTGGGCTCAAGGAAAACTATACAGACTTTTATGGTGCCAGATGTGGTTAAGCTAGCACACTCTGCCTTAATGCTGAGAACTTACCCTGCTTGCTTCAACTTGATGTAACCGGTAGGACTCCCCAGTACTCTCATTAACTAAATCAAACTGATGACGATATGCTACACAGATCATATTGTCATTGTCTCCAGTCGGTCCATCCACCAGAGTCATGATCACTGGAGGGTCAGAGAGACAAATCTCCTGTAACAGAAATGACATTACATTAAGATGGAAATAAATTGAAGGAATTATTCTACTTTTCATACTCTCACTATAAATTGTTTGTACTGCAGGTGATGCCCAGGGAGCTGCGCTAGGGGGTAGACAGGCTGTACACAGACCTGTTTCTCCGGCAAACAAGAACCAAATTTAAAAAAGCGGAAGATTTTTGTTTCAGCACATAGAGTGGGATTTCCCATCACTGCTGTTGGGCCTCTCAACTGAACCAAACATGGCATTTAGAAAGGCAAGATATGTGCCCTTCCATGACCAGGTGTCTCCTGCCCAGTGTGAGAGAAGATAATTGTTAATGAATGATCTGTCTCAAGCATACCCTGATGTACTGGAATTCCTCTACTGGTGAGTCAGACAGCGGTGACATCAAAGAGATGCTGGTTAAACTGTTGCCTTGATTGTTTTTCTTTGTGATGAGGAGCAGTTTGTTCCGAATAGCTGCAACAATTCTTAGTTCACTGCTATGGTGTGTATTAATGGCATACAAATGACAGCCTAAGGAGATAATGCAAATGAATAATTTTGTCTTGAAGTGGACAATTCAATGCATAGGCTTGCACCCAAGGCAGTATGCATCTCAAGCCTACCCCATAATATTCTGTTGCTGTCCATCTAGAAATGTCCTCAGTTTTTCCAATAGAACTCAAAAATAAGGTGCAACTCCTTGCTATTCCCAGAACTACGAATTTACACAATTCTACCAATGCACCAAGTCTGACAGGCAACATTGCCCAGTTATTCCAGTCCTGGGCCTCCACACATAGCTATGCCAGAGTCCTTCAATCCTTCTTGAAATATATCTATTCTGCCTCAGAACTTCTCCCAGATAAAAACGAAAAAGTCATGTGGTATTTTTGTGAAGTGCACAAATGGAAACTGGGATTAGCCCAAATTTATTTTCACATACAATCTAAACTCAGGATTTCAACGCACTGCCCAGAGGGGGAAGACTAAGTATCAGTTGCTCTAACATCTACAGGGGAGCCAATGGGACCTTTGGCAGCTTCTAGTCCAGCACCCTAACTGGGTCTTTTGGTAAATGAGACTCAAATTACCTTTTGTTTTCTCAAGTTTGTTTTCTCTGCAATCATATTTGCTCTTTGCCATCTGCTTTACTTCCACCTCATTTTGTACAGCGCTCATCCTGAAGACAAGGAGACGAGAGTCCTTCCCTGTTAGGGACAGGGGAGAGTCAGGGAATTAACAAATTAAAAAACAGAACAAATGTCAAATCTGCACATACATCACAACATTTATGAAGATAAGAGGCAACTCTCTCTAGTCTTCTTTGGAGATGAGTGGGAATATGCTTGGAAGGAAAACAATGCCTGTGAATCCTGCTTACATTATGCAGCTCTGCTACCAGATTAAGAGTGCCTGAGCTGATAAGCAAACTGTCATGGTATGAAATTAAATCTGAAACATGGTAGCCAATACAAGAAATAAAAGAATTCCTTCAAATCAATAGCATGGGTTTCCCTCCACCTAGTTCCATAATAGAAAACAAAGTAATGGAAAAGGAGGTGAGAAAACGAGACCAGGATTATTATAACATAATGAAAATCAACGAAGAACTAATGCAAATTACCGCACAAGATCAAAGCATTACCCCTCTGTTTGGAAATAATCCAAGTGAGTCTAAATTTACTGGATCAATGGCGGGTAATCTTAAAATGTGATAATTTAAACAAATTTATGCCAAAGGGGTCATATTCCCACTGCAGAAATGAAAACAACACTCACTGCCAATGCTAAAATCTTCAGTCCCCAACACCTGTCATAAGCTGTTTGAAGATCATGTATATAGAAGGAAAAGCAGTAGATTAAAAAAAAAAAAAGCGTCCCACTGCACTTTGAACCAACTACAATGGTTATTTAGCCTATGGCAGCTGTGGCTCTTCAGAATACTGTCAGTATCAGAAACAAAAAACAGGACTGTGTAGCACTTTAAAGACTAACAAGATGGTTTATTAGGTGATGAGCTTTCGTGGGCCAGACCCACTTCCTCAGATCAAATAGTGGAAGAAAATTGTCACAACTATATATACCAAAGGATACAATTAAAAAAATGAACACATATGAAAAGGACAAATCAAATTTCAGAACAGAAGGTGGATGGGTGAGGGGAGAGGTAAATGTCTGTGAGCTAATGATATTAGAGGTGATAATTGGGGAAGCTATCTTTGTAATGGGTAAGATAATTAAAGTAACGGGAGTTCTCACCCACAATTATTTCCAGTTTGAGAACAACTTATACCTCCAGATCAGCGGCACAGCCATGGGTACACGCATGGCCCCACAGTCTGCTAATATCTTTATGGCTGACCTAGAACGTTTCCTCAACTACCGTCCCCTTTTACCTCTTCTCTACTTACGCTACATCGATGACATCTTTATGATCTGGACACATGGCCAAGAAACACTGGAGACATTCCACAGAGATTTTAACAACCTATACCCCACCATCAATCTCAGCCTGGACCATTCTACACGAGAGATCCATTTCCTGGACACCACAGTACAAATCAGCAATGGAAAATTAGACACCACTCTCTATAGAAAACCTACTGACTCATACAGTTACCTACATGCTTCCAGCTCCCATCCAGAACATACCATACGATGCATCATCTATAGCCAAGCCCTTCAATACAACCGCATCTGCTCTAATCCCACTGACAGAGACCAGAAACTTCAGGATCTCTACCAAGCATTTATAAACCTCAACTACCCACCCGGAGAAATAAAAAAGCAAATTGAAAGAGCCAGACGAATACCTAGAAACCATCTACTTCAAGACAGACCCAAGAAAACCAACAATAGAACACCACTTGTCATCACCTACAACCCCCAACTTAAACCTGTCCAACACATTATCAATAAACTACAGCCTATATTGGAACAGGATACCATACTCAAAGAGCCTCTGGGAGACAGACCCATAGTCTCCTACAGACAACCACCTAACCTCAAGATCATTCTTACCAACCACCACAGGACATACCACACTAATACCAACCCTGGTACCTTCCCTTGCAACAAGCCCCGTTGCCAGTTTTGGCCACATATTCACTCTGCTGATGCCATTATTGGACCTAACCAAGTGAGTTATAAGATAAGAACACATATTCCCTGCGCATCCAGAAATATAATTTATGCTATCATGTGCCAAAAGTGTCCGTCTGCTATGTACATCGGACAAACGTCTCAGACACTTCGCCAAAGGATCAATGCCCACAAAACAGATATTAGACAGGATCACAAAGGAAAAACAGTTTCTTGCCATTTCAACCAGAAAGGACATTGTCTCAACAACTTGATTACCTGCATCCTGCTTCAAAGGCCTTTTAAGACTATACATGAAAGAGAATCCTTTGAACTGTCATTCATGCTTAAATTCGACACTTTACGCCTAAGTTTGAATAAAGACTTTAATTATCTTACCCATTACAAAGACAGCTTCCCCAATTATCACCTCTAATATCATTAGCTCACAAACATTTACCTCCCCTCCCCCCTATTTCCCTTCTGTTCTGAAATTTGATTTGTCCTTTTCATATGTGTTCATTTTTTTAATTGTATCCTTTGGTATAAATGGTTGTGACAATTTTCTTCCACCATTTGATCTGAGGAAGTGGGTCTGGCCCACGAAAGCTCATCACCTAATAAACCATCTTGTTAGTCTTTAAAGTGCTGCATAGTCCTGTTTTTTGTTTCAGCTACACCAGACTAACACGGCTACATTTCTATCACTGTCAGTGTCAGAATACTATGATGCTTACCAGTTCCAATTAAGTGGTAATCGGCTCCTCATCTGCTGTGGGAAGGGGGCTGCTCCAGCCCCACTGCAGACAATGGTTGTTCTTGTCCCGAGCAGCCCCTGCCTGTGGGGAATCCAGGGGGCCCTGCAGGCAGGGACTGTCCAGTGTCCAGAGAAGCCTCTCTCCATGGGGAGTCCAACTGACTATGGACAGGTGCTACTCTAGGGGGGCTGGGAGCAGGCAGCAGCTCCAGTGTGACCTATCATTAACTGGTTAACTGATTAATGGGAATTTACATCCCTAATGAGATGCACTGCAACTGCATTTTTTGAAGTTACTGCAAAACTATCAACTGTCCTCCATTTCCACAAGCCAGAATGACAATACTGAACAACCATGACAGTTACAGGGTGCAGAAGACCATGTCAGTAGCCCTCAGTACCACTGCTTGCAAGGTATATTTAACATGGAGATCAGTGGGTCTGGGCTATTTTATATTTTAAGCTACTGAGAAATGTATATGTCAATACCATGACGGCAATGCCTACATTATGTAAACAATACCTAATAATAATTGCCAAATGAGACCACTTCCCAACCTGCTTACAAAGGGCCTGATCCAATTTAAACTTTAAGCTAGGATTGGGCCCAAAGCAAGCTGCTGACATTACCCAAGAAGACCCAGTTAACATTTAGTCACCTTTCAAAAATATAAGGGACCAATCAGTAAAAGCCCCACTGCCTGGTAGAGGCGATCTTTGAAGAAAATTGGAGAGACTTTGAATTGACTTCTTCTGACACCAGCACTTTCTCACACTGGATGTGGGGTCTTTAGCACAGGTTTCACTTTGTGTGTCAGAATTACTCAGAAATGTGTTGTCACAGCTAACTCCATTCAGGTGTAGGCAATGTGCAGTCGAAAGACAAAAGAACAAATGCCTTGAAACTGGAAGTCAAAACATCTCACCTCTTCACAGAGCTCACAAAAGGCTTGTTTACCCAGACACACAAGTCATAACAATCCTATTTGGAGACAGAGGATACATCCTGCCTCGCTGTGGATGCACCAAGTGTTTTCATGTGGCATCTTAACATTCTGTTTAAATCATCAACTGCTTAGATGAGGAAGACGCACAAAGAGTCTGTCCATCATTCACACCGGAGTGACACGGTGATTTCACTGCCATGGTAACAGACCTGATCTCTCTGTGGGCTCTTGTGGAGCAGCAGGGATCCTCGGCCGGTCTCTTGGAGGGAGAGGCCAGGAGTGCCTCTATTTTAGTGGTTCTCAACTTTTTTGGCCTTTGGACCACCTGGCTCAATGTAAACCTTTCTGCGGAACCCTAGTTGCTAATGGAAACTCACTGTTAATTACATAATTATGCCTGAGCCATTTTGCTAGTGCTGCAGCTGGGGAGAACGGTTTAATTTTAATTATTAAACAGATTAAGTGTTTTAACTTTCTCATGCTAGTTCATCAAATTTGATTTTAAATAAAGTAAAATATTAATTTATGTCCGATACAAAAGATTTCAATGTTTTCTTTACTTATGGCAGGGAACCTTTTTTAGGTCGGGGCCATTGATCCACAGATAAAGCAGTTGGGGACCACATAAGTGAAAAGCAAAAGAACACCTCCCAAAACCCCCAACCCTCACTGAGATGGCCCCCAACTGAAAATCCTCTGGTGTTCCAGCTCCAATGGGTGAGGAGGGTAAGTGACATAGAGGAGTGATGTTCAGGTCTTCCTATAGGTCAGATTTACTTTTCTGGTGGATTTTATGGACCCCCCTAAATTCTGGGGTGGGGACAACAATGAGGGGTTCAGTGCGTGTGACAAGGCTGCCAGTGAGTGGAACAGGAATGGGGTGCAGGATCTGGGAGAAAGTGGGGGGCAGAGGAGGGAGAGGTTGAGAGGTCTGGATGTATGGCAGGGTGCAGAAGCAGTCTGGGAGGCGGGTGTGTGACCAGGAGGAAGGGTGCAGGAGCAACTGTGGATTCAGGAGCCAACTGTGGGTAGGGTGCCTGGCCAGGAGGGAGGGTGACTGGCCAAGAGGGAGTGTGCAGCAATGGACTACGGGTAGGTGTCTGTCCAGGAGGGGAGGGTGCAAAGTCTGTCCAGCAGGGGTAGTGTCTGGCCAAGAGGGATGGTGCAGGAGCAGACTTGGGATAAGGGTTGTACCTCCCTGGTTTGGCACCCTCTGGACCTCACTGGTCCCAGATGAGGGATTTTTCCAGATCAGGGGGGTCATTTCAGGCCCTCTGCTGCTGCTCCCATACTGGGCTTCCTGGCTCCCCATTTCCCCCAAAGCCCAGCTGAGTGGCTTGTCAGTTTCCTGAGCTCATGTCTGGCCCAGCTAAACTGCATGCCACTTGTCTGCCTCCACCCGGCCCCCAGCTGCTTACTTGCT